AGTCAGGGCTGACTCGACGGCACATAACAACAACAACATTCTATGTTATATACTTTTTTCCCCCATTGTTTGAAATCTTCCTTGTAGGAAAGCTACAGATAAAGTCAGTAATTTTGCCTGTCACAGTGATGCTACTGATTTGTGTTAGAAAACAGATTGATAATAACACATATATTTTGAAGCTTCTTTTCCTAATAGGGCTGGTGGATTTACTTTGAGCCATTCTTTTTTCTCCATTTTTCCTAGGAAGAACTTAACCTAGGAAATGTCCTTAGAAATAGTCTAACTTTCCAAGTTTGATGTCCTAAATAACAGTCTGTATCTCAGGAAGTATCTAGAAACATAAATCACCAAATCTTTCTTATCGTTCTCTTTTTGTTGTGGTTTCATTTCAACTGCATGTAGACTACAAAGGTATTAGAGAACTAGTGTGTTTACCCTAATATAGGTCATAGGTGCAGTCTTCAATCCTGAACACAAGTTATGTGTTTTTTGGGGTCAATTTTTATTCAGTTTTCTTTTCTTTTGGATTTAGATTTTCCTCTTGTGCTTTTTCCTGTATGTATTTCAGAATTGACAAGTAATAACAAAGTAAGTGTAAAGCCACCTTGAAGGAAATAATACAGGTTTGCTTGGATCAAAGCAGACCCATGTAATATGGAAAGTTTCACCTGTGAGCTAGCATTTTACATGTGGCAGGACAGGAAATGGATAATATTATCTTAGAAATGGAATAGAGTTGTGTTTAGATTACATTTTCAGACTTTCTTACGTTGCTACTAATTTACTAAATGACACCTATAGGAAGACTTTAAATTAACTGGTTTAAAGTGTGAAAGAATTACCTGGGTGGCTTGTTAAAATTACTGATTTCTGAGTTTTACCTCTAGAAATTATCCGAAGTGGGACCCAGGAATTAACAGTTTAACAAGCACTTCTGGTTTTCTAATGCAGGTCTTCCTTGGATTGTCCTGGGAGACACTGCCCTAAAAAGATCATACAATTGAAATTTATGTATATTAAATGAATTAGTTATATCTTGTTGAAAAAAAATTAAAAAGGCTCATATATGAAAGTATTCCACATTAGAATCAGTTTATGTGACATACTGATTTCACTCATGAGGTGAATTTCCCCTTCAAATCCTTAAGCATTCTAGTTTTTAAGATGTAACTGTTGACTTTTTCAGGATGATGCTTCTTTGTGTCCTGTACATTGTCTAGAACATTGAGTTTGGAGAAGGTCAGGTTAGCTCTGTGCAGTCTGGTTTCATCTAGGCTTTATGAAATCTGTTACATCATTTGATAATTAAGCATACATAATGGCATGTAAAACTACATTTTCTTTCTAGATCTTGACATGGACATGAAATGAATGATTTTGGGCTAAGGAATAAATTTTTAGTAAATATTTACGTCTGAAAAGGTAAATTATGAGGAAAAACTTATTAGATCTGTAGCCAGTCCTGGTCTTAAGGGTTTTTTAGAAATTTCTTTTTGAGTTTATTTTTTTGTTTATTAAAATAATTGGTATATATTGTTTGAATTTTTAAAGTATATATATTCATCACAACTTTTTAGTGATTTTTTTTTTTTTTTTTTTAGCTGCATTACCAAGCATAGTTTTACATGGTCTGGCCTTAGTTGTAAACACAGAGTAATTTTTGGTATCTGATTTTTTTTCAAGAGATAAATAAGGCTTCAATTTTTTTCTCTTTCAGTATTGTTGTCCAGACATGATAAATAACTTTTTGGGACTGGCTAAAACAGAATTTTCAAGTACAACAAATAAAAATAAGACTGTTGATTCAGAGAAAGGAAAATTGATCATGTTAGTTAATGACTTTTATTATGGAAAACATGAAGGAGATGTCCAGGAAGAACAGAAGACTCACACAACCTTTAAATGCTTCAGTTGCTTGAAAATTCTTAAAAATAATATTAGGTATGTAAATACTTACTTTTATTTCTATTTGAAAGTTAGAATGGTATAGATATAAATGTTTGTCTTGCATTTTTGTGCCATCCTGGGTAAGCAACTTTAATATTTTCTAGTAAGAACAAAGGCAGATTCTCTTGTTGAAAAGCTTTGATTCCTTCTTGTATTTTAGAATTTTGACTCATGGATCTATTTAGTTGTATTTTTTTCAGAGCGCTTAAGAAAAGACAAACTGGATTTTAAATTAAGGGAAAATTAACTTCTTTTCCATATGTTACCCATGATGTAGGAATTTGCATAATTTTTTTTTTATATTTTCTAGTTACTTAAAAATTTTTATTCACATCATAAGAAAACAACTTCTTTATCCAGTTTTGTTTTATCCAGTTTGACCTTCTCCCTATGAATCTTATTTATTGCAATTCATACTTAATAATTTTAGATCATTTACCTTATACAGAAAATGGTCTTTTCTAGTGATCGTTTGTAAAGAAGTACAATTTCTAGGAAAATTGTCTGTTTTGATTTTTTTTAAATGGAGTTTTAACTCCCCTTGGAATTTTGCAGACTTTAGGAACTTGTACTTTGTAACCTTGACGTTATATGGCATATTACATAACAATCATGCTAGGTGAGTTAGTAATAAGAACAAAATAATGAGACATTGATTTTTTTCCAATGATCATATAGCCTGACATTTAAATTGGAAAAGGTTGTTGTTCTTAATTGTATTATAAAAATGTTCAAATACTCAGCAAATTTAAAACATTTTTACATAAATATCTTTTCATATTTATCACTTTGATTCTACCATGAACATTTTTTTATACTTGCTTTATTGCCTATCCATTCATCTATACTTTAAACTGTCTCATTTTCTTGATCCCACAGTACCATGGAAGATAGGCCTGGCAATCTGCTTCCTTTAAGACAATAACTAAGAATACCCTGTGGAGCAATTTTACTCTGTAACATTTGGAATTGCCATGAGTCTGAATTGACTCAACAGCAACCAACAACAATATTCATCCATTTTTCAAACTGATTTTCTTGATTTCAAAGTTGCAGGCATCACTATACTTCCCTTAGGTGGGGTATACAGATATATATGTGTATGTGCATATACATACACACATACATGTTTTTTATGTTTATCCTTGATAACTGTCATTTATAATTAGCATTTTAAAGCACCTGTAGGTATCTTTGGGACCCAACTTTTATTTTCATGTGATTTCTTGGGACCAAAGGAAGTACATAGAACAAACTTGAAATATACCATAATACAAACAATTAGGAATACTATGTTTAGGGTAGTGCATTATAGTTTTCAGAGTTCTACATTTGTTATTTTTTGAGTTGTCACATTTCTTTACCTCCTATAAGTCAGAGTCGACTGGATGACAACAGATTTCTACTGAACCTTAACAGCTGTCAGTAGTCTCAGTAGTTTAACAGAAGGGAAATAGTACTTTGAAATACAACACTGAAACCATATTACAATAGAATTTTGTCACCTCTTTTCATTTTCTTATTACATTAATAGTAAAATATAAAATACATCAGAAAATCATGTTAGTAAATGTAAAATGCACAGAAAAGTGGTTCACTGACTTAGTTCTTTGTTATACTTAAATATTATAATATTAGAAATTATTTCAACAATAGTTTCTTTTTAACTTTTCCTTTAAGATTAGGCTATTTCATATTAAGCATATGAAATAAATTTCCATTTTTGTTGTTATTTCAGAAGATTGGCTACATATTTCTAGAGTATCAGAATATCTAGAAATTTTATGCAAACTGCGTTTGATAATGTCTAGAAATGGATCATTTTTGGAAAGATTGATTACTTAGTCAGTGTAACTTTAATGGTAAACACTACTAGATAACCAAAGAAAGTGCATATATTAAATAATATATTACCTTAACAGTAAAAACTAGAATGGCAAATTGATGATTTTAGAGAATGATAAGAAACTGATAGCTCAAGATTTCTACTCTGCCTTGTCAGCATACAGGCATTCCCAGGTTACAAGCATGTTCATTCTTAAGTCTGTCTTTAAGTTTTGTAGGTAAGTCAGAACAGGTACATACATATGGTTCTTATTTAGCCTTACTTTAGTGCAAGAAAGGAGCTCTGGTGGCTAGTGGGTAAGACATTTGGCTGCTAACCTGAAGGTCAATAGTTCAAACCCACCAGCTGCTCTGCAGGAGGAAGATGAGGCAGTCTACTTCTATAAAAATTTATAGCCTTGGAAACCTTATTGTGAGTAGGAATTGACTTGATGGCAGTGGGTTTGGTTTTTTGGTTTTTCAGTGCAAGAACGCTGTTTAGTGGCACAGTGGTTAAATCATTGAGTGGCTAACCAGAAGGTCAGTGGTTCAAACCCATCAGCTGCTCCATAGGAGAAAGATGAGGCAGTCTACTTATATAAGATTTTCAGCCTTGGAAACCCTATAGGGCAGTTCTGCTCTGTCTTATAAGGTTGCTATGACTCAGAATCATAGTTTGATTTTGGGTTTAGTACAAGAAAAGGCCCAAAGCCTTTTCAGTGATTTTAAAAGCTGCATGTGCATCAAGTGTGGGTGATTGTGATGAAGAATTTGTTGCAAGCAGATGTTGGTTTGGTTGAATACTAGTTGGTTCAGTTATTTCCAAGTTAGAGCAAATCTATATAACATTAAAGGGCATGTTTGTAACCCAGGGACTTACTGTATTGTGCTATGGTGGGGTTTTTCCTACATTGAGTGACACCAACAACAGGGTTATTTTATTCTGTGAAGGTCCTTTACAAGAGATTTTTTTCTCTTCAGTTTCCAACTGCTGGTTTGAGAAGTATGAGCCCCTGATGGGGCTCATATAATAACTGAGAGAAAGCTAGTTTGATTGAGATTATTTTATATAGGTATGTTTTAAGTTTAAAGTTGTGAGCTCTCCATTTATTAGCTCATGACCTTTTCTCTGTATGTAATTATTTAGCCAAGAATAGGATATTCTGTGAAGTCCCTGAGTGGTGCAAGTGGTTAACGTGCTTGGCTACTAACTGGAAGGTTGAAGGTTCAGGTCCACCCAGAGGTACCTCGGAAGAAAGGTTTGGTGATCTCCTGCTGAAAATCAGCCATTGAAAACCCTATGGAGCATAATTCTGTTCTGACATATATGGGATTACTATGAGTTGGAAGTGACTTGATGGCAACTGGTTATTAATAGGATTTTTCTATAGGTTTTTGTAGATCTTGTGTTTAAACTGGGAAGAAAACAAAGATATTTCAAGGTGTGCCATAATCATCTCTAAACAGAAGTAGCATAAACATCTGAAGAAGAAATAAATGTTTTATGCTTCATGACAATTGATATCCATATCGAAGATATGAACATGTAGTTTTAAGATTATTTCCTTTAGAGACTCAGAATGAATAATTGTTAATAGTTGACCTAGTCTAAAAATGGTTTTGATTGAGTAACTTTCCTTTTAAATTCAATAAAAAGCTTCAGTAAGCTCTTTTAAATAGGCATTCCCATTTATATCGCACTCTCTGCCATTAAAGGTCATAGTTCTTATTCATAAGAAGCCTTTTAGCGAAGCTGAAATAGCAGAATATAAAACTGAAAAATGGACGTTGCCTACAAAGGGCACAGTCTGCAAGATAAAATGAACAGTCTGTGCTAACACTAAACCAGTATCATTAAATAAAACAAAAGGTTCTTGTAATTTTAGGCATTAAAATTGCTATTACATGCATTTAGAAACAAAGACACAAGTAAAAATACTAGTAATGTCTTTTAAGCAGCTGGAACCTATTGTATATCTTCAAGGCCTTAAGAGATTTCTCTCCTGACTCTGTAGCAGCTTTTGGTGATAGGGTTTCCTTACTTTTAGTGCTTTATTTTAAAATGTAAATAGTATTTCCTGTATGGAAAAGAAGCCTACTGTTTTTTACAAAAAAAAAAAAAAAAATTAATAATCTGAAATAATGATTAAGATCTAGAGTAAATTAATGATCCTTCAGATTACTCACATTAATTAATTTTAAAACAAAGATGAAAAGAAAGAAATGTTTACTTATCCATTTAATGAAAGTGATTATTTAAGTGCACGCTTTTCTAGAGCATTTTTAAGGCTTTGGAGGATTTATTTTGAGTGATATTTTCAATGGGTAGTATTTTTAAGATTTAGGTTAAGATACTTACATGTGAGATTATTTTGTTCTTATATCTGAATTTTTGCACCTGTTGACAATCATTTATAGGTTTATGAACCACATGAAACACCATTTGGAACTTGAGAAGCAGAGCAGTGAGAGCTGGGAAAACCACACCACCTGCCAGCACTGTTATCGTCAGTTTCCCACACCATTTCAGCTGCAGTGTCACATTGAAAGTACACACACTCCCCATGAATTTTCTAGTAAGTTACAAATTAATTTAAATATTGAATATTACTGATTTTAATAATCTGAACTGAGAGAAAACCTTAAGAATTCTGATAGAAAAATATTTTAAGAAATAGACTTTGGAATTAGAAGGCAAAATTGAAAAAGTTAAATTTTAACTTTTATGCATTTTTAAACCCAGGGGCAGTCCCTGGGTTACTGTGAACATTTGACTCAAGCACACCCACAGTTAAGAATATTAATAATTTGCAGTACATTCAGTGGTTCATAATAATGGGTGTTACTTTGCAACATGCATCAAACACTATTATTATTGTTTTATGTCAGAGGAGCTATGGTGGTGTAGTGGGTAAGGCATTTGGCTGCTAACCAGAAGGTCCGTTCAAACCCACCAGCTGCTCTGTGGGAGGAATATGAGGCAATCTACTTTCATAAAGATTTACAGCCTTGGAAAGAAACCTAACAGGTTGCTATGTCGGAATTGACTCAATAACAGTGGGTTTGATTTTTTTAGTTTTATTATGTTAAATATACTTTAGACTATGTGGAAATGTTTCTTTAATATTTCTATCAGAGAAAGTTACTATATGCTATTACTAAGACAAACATTTTACTAACTGATGTTAGATATGACCTGTACCTATTCTGACTAATGTACAAATTAGACAGAATTAGAAAGAGAACTCTTGTAATCTGGGGACTGAACTTGAAAGTCCTTCTTGTAAATGTTCCTTTAATGGAAACTCCTTTGGCATAACCTGTCCATGGTACTTGGGGGAATAAATTAGAAACCTTGGATTCCATTGTTTTCCAATAAGAAATCACTGCCTTTCATATAAACTTCAGTAAGAGTAACAACAAAAATAGTTAAGATTACAGAGTTTGGAACTAGACAGCTTAGGTTCAAATCCCAATTCTACAATTTAACATAGCTGTGTGATCTCAAGCAAGTTACTTAATATTTGAGTAATAATAGTAGTACTTTCTTCATAGTATTGGTATGAGAATTAAGTTAATGTAAGTAAAGTGCTTATAGCTGTGCTTGGCACAGAATTAACAACTATGTAACTGTTAAGCACCACCACTACTACTACTATTATCATTGGTGATATGAATGTATCCAATGAATTATATAAATATATATATATATATATATATATATACACACACATATATCTTAAAATAGTAATGTCTTTTTTCCCCATTTTTAGCCATTTGTAAAATCTGTGAATTATCATTTGAAACAGAACATGTTCTTTTACAACATATGAAGGACAATCATAAACCCGGTGAAATGCCATATGTTTGCCAGGTACACACATATTTTATTGTACTTAAGTGTTTGGTTTGTTTCTTTTTGTAGGTACAAGGTTTAAACTTGTTAGATGAAAGGTCAGCAATTTTTTCTGTAAATGACCAGATGGGAAAAATTTTAGGCTATGAGGGTCATTTGGTCTCTATTGGAACCACTCAGCTCTCTGCCATTGTAATACAATGGCAGCCATAGACAATAAGTAAATGAATGGATATGACTGTGTTCCAATAAAACTTTATTTATGGACATAGAAATTTGAATGAATTTCATGTCTCATGAAATAATTGTTTTAATTTTTTTAAATTATTTAAATAAAATTATTTATTAAAATGAAAGTCCTTTTAAATTATTTATTAGTGGAAACTCTTGGCATAATTGTGCTTTGAATGTAGGGTTGACAACAAGTTGGATTTGGTCCACAGGCTATTGTTTACTGACCCTGGTATTGGACAAAGAAAAGCCCTGTTGGAGAAAGGCAAATATGTGGATTTTTCTAGCCATATAGGGAAGGATGCCATATAGGGAAATGTTGTTTAGTGCCTTCAGTCATTTCTGACTCATAGTGATCTTGTGTGCAACAGAATGAAACACTGTCTGGTCCAGCACCATGTTCACAATCGTTGTTTTGTTTGAGCCCATAGTTACAGCCACAGTGTCAGTCCATTTAGTGTCTTCCTCTTTTTCTCTGCCCCTCTACTTTACCAAGCACGATGTCCTTCTTCAGGGATTGGTCTCTCCTGATAACATGTCCAAAGTGTGTGAGAGTCCTGCCATCTTCGCTTCTAAGGAGCATCCTGGCAATATTTATTTCAATACAGATTTGTTCATTCTTTTGGCAGTCCATGGTATATTAAGTATTTTTTGCCAAATTCAAAGACATTCAAAGGCATCAGTTCTTTCTTGGTCTTCACAATTCTTTGTCCAACACTCACATGCCTGTGAGGCGATTGAAAATAATACGACTTGGGTCAGGCACCTATTAGTCCTCAAGGTGACATCTTTACTTTTTAACACTTTGAAGAAGTCTTTTGCAGCAGATTTGCCCAAAGTAATACATCATTTGAATTCTTGACTGCTGCTTCCATGGACATAGATTGGGTATCCGAGAAAAATATAATCCTTGACAACTTGAGTATTTTCTATGTATATCATGTTGTTGCATATTGATCTTGATGATATTCTGTCATCCTGTTGTAGTTTTGAGAACTTTTGTTTTCTTAATGTTGAGGTGTAAATCCATACTGCAAGCTGTAGTCTTTGATCTTCATCAATAAGTGCTTCATGTCTTCTTCACTGACTGCAATCAAGGTTGTATCATCTGCATATCACATGCATATTGTTAATAAGTCTTCCTCCTATCCTGATGCCATATTCTTCTTCATGAAGTCCAGCTTTTTGGATTATTTGCTCACCATACAGATTCAATAACTATGGTGAATGGATACAACCATGATACATGACTTTCCTGATTTTAAGCCTTGCGTTATCTTGCTGTTCTGTTCAAATGATTGGCTCTTAGTCTATGTCCAGGTTCCTCATGAGCACAATTAATTGTTCTGGAATTTCCATTCTTTGCAATGTTATCCATAATTTGTTGTGATGCACACGGTGGAATGCCTTTGCATCGTCAATAAAACACAGGTAAGCGTCTTTCTGCTATTCTTCATTTTCAGCCAAGATCCCTCTGACATCAGCAGTGATATCCCTTGTTTCACGTCCTCTTCTAAATCCAGCTTGCATTTCTGACAGTTCTTGTTGATGGACTGCTGCAACTGGTTTTGAATTATCTTCAGCATAATTTTACTTACATGTAATATTAATGATGTTATCTGATCATTTACACATTCTGTTGGATCAACCTTCTTTGGAGTAAACGTATATAAGGTTCTCTTGTAGTAAGTTGGCCAGGTGTCTGTCTTCCAGATTTATTGGCATAGACTGTTAAGTGTTTCCAGAGTCACATCCATTTGTTGAAACATTTCAACTGATGGTATTAATGTTTATTCCTGGATCCTCATTTTTTGCCAGTGCCTTCAGTGCAGCTTGAACATCTTTCTTCAGTACTATCAGTTCTTGACTTTATGTCACCTCCTGAAAAGACTGAACATCAATCAAGTCTTTTTGTTATAAAAACCACCAGATTCACTGCTGTCAAGTAAATTTGACTTATAGCGACCCCTCCTTGGGTTTCCAAGGCAGTATTTCTACAGAAGTAGATTGTCCAATCTTCCTTCTGAGGAGTGGCTGGTGGGTTTGAACTGCCAGCCTCCTGGTTAGCAGTCAAATGCCTTAGGCGCTATGCCACTAGAACTCCCCTTTTTGTTATTGTGACTGTGTAGTCCTTCATTTTCCTTTCATGCTTTCTGTGTTGTTCAGTATTTTGCCCATAAAATCTTTCATTATTGCAACTTGAGGCTGTAATTTTTTCTTCTTTTTTAACTTGAGAAATCCTTAATGTGTTCTTCCTTTTTCAGTTTTCTAACTCCAGGTCTTTGCACATTTTGTTATAATACTTTTCTTTGTCTTCTCAAGCCGCTTTTTCAAATCTTCTATTCAATTTTTATTTCATTTCTTCTTTCCCTTTAGCTACTATACATATCAGAGCAAGTTTCAGAGTCTCTTTGGATATCCAGTTTGGTCTTTTTTTCTCTTTCGTCTTTCTAATGACCTTTTGCTTTTTTCATGTATGATGTCTTATATGTCATTCCACAACTCGTGTGGTCTTCAGTCACTGGTGTTCAGTGCATCAAATCTAGTCTTTACGTGTTCCCTGAACTCAGTGGGGTATGCTCAAGTTTGTACTTTGGGTCTTACAGACTTGTTTTAATTATCTTCAGCTTCAGCTTGAACTTGCATATGATCAATTGGTCTGTTCCACAGGTGTCTCTTGACCTTGTTCTGACTGATGGTATTAAGTTTTTCCATCATCTCTTTCACACAAATTTAATCAATTTGATTCCTGTGTATTTCATCCACTGAGGTGAATATGTATAGTTGTCCTTCATGTTTTTGAAAAAAGGTATTTGCAACAATTAAGTTGTTAGTCTTGCAGAATTCCATCATGTAATCTCCTAACATTGTTTCTGTCACCATATTTTCTAACTGCTGATCCTTCTTCATTTTCAACTTTTGCATTCCAATCACTAGTAATTATCAATGCATGTTTGATCAATTTCAGACTGTAGTGGTAGGTAGAAATCTTCAATTTCTTCATCTTTGGCATTATTGGTTGGTGCATAAATTTGAGTAATAGTCATATTAACTGATCTTCCTTTTGGATTTATTGATATTATCCTGTCCTATCACTGAGAAAGTTGTACTTCAGGGTAGGTCTTGAAATGTTCTTTTTTTACAATGAATGTGATGCTTTTACTCTTCATCTTGTCATTCCTGGCATAGTAGACCATAGTTTTGACAGTTTCCAATGTTCTTAGATTCATACTTTGTACATTCCACATTCTGTTTGTAATGGATATTTGCAGCTCTTTAGTCTCTTTTCAGATCAGCAAATGAATGTCCCTAAAGCTCTACTTCATCCATGTTATTAAGGTTGGCTCTACTTTAAGGAGGCAGCTCTTCCCCAGTATTATTTTGAGTGCTTTCAAACCTGAGGGTCTCATCTTCCAGTACTATATCAGACAGTGTTTTGCTGCTATTCATAAGATTTTCACTTGCCACTTTTCACAGAAGTAGATCTCCAGGTCCTCTTCCTGGTCTATCTTAGTCTGGAAGCTCCGTTGATACCTGTCCATCAGGGATGACCCTGTTGGTTATTTGAAATATCGGTGGTATAGCTTCCAGCATTACAGCAGTACACAAACCACCAGAGTATAACAAACTGACTGACAAGTGGTAGTATAAGGGAAGCAGGAGGTGGTATTCATTACAGAGTACCTAAATGAATGCTTTGGGACTAGTATATTTTTATAATTTAAGGAATAAGAAAGCACGATAAAGTTAAATTGTCATTGTTATAGCCTGAATGCCATTTAAAATCTAAAAGATAACACTGTGTTTTTTGTAATAGAAAAAGTTTTGTATGGCAAGAATTGCTATAGCTTGAAAATTCAAGTCAGGACAAGGGGTGGTAGATCTGAAGAAGGGAATTTAGGTTTATTTTGGGAAGCACCCTAACATTGAAAGATCATTTTTCTGTCTCAAATATTATCTTTTGCTGTTTATAATAATAGGTTTCTTAGTTATATAGGCATCAGAGCTGAATTAATAATATGCAATGTTCTTCTAAACAAATGACCCATTATTGCTACTTTGTCATTGCATAGCAGGTTTATATATATTTTTTTGGGGGGGGGACGATAATATTCTTTATTTTTTAAAAAATACATTTTATTGAAATATAATTTATGTACAGTGAAATACACAAAACTAGTAACATGGGTCAGTGCTTTTTTTTTTTTTTTCTTTTGGCCGTGGTCCCTCCCCTTCAGGTATACGTTTTTAAGTTAAACTGAAACTTTCTTTATATTTCTAGGTTTGCAATTATAGATCATCATCATTTTCTGATGTTGAAACTCATTTTAGAACGTCCCATGAAAACACTAAAAACTTGCTGTGTCCATTTTGCCTCAAAGTTATTAAAATTGCAACACCCTATATGCATCATTACATGAAGCATCAGGTGAGATTTACCAGTTTTTTGTGTTTGTGTTGTATTAGCAAAAAGACTGATTATGATTTAGAAAATTGGTTCTATTTTTTTCTGTAATGGATATAAACTTGTTCTAAATAACATGATTCATTTTCAATGTATGCTAAATTACTTGTGAAACTCCCAGTTCTTTTCTTTGCTTGCTTGCTTTTGATGGTACAGCTCATAAATAATAAAAATTCTAAAAGGTAACTAGAAAAGGAATCTAGGGTTGAAAGGAAAAATATGTGGAATATCCATAAGACTTCCAGGCCTCAGGGTCAATATAGAAATAATTTTAAAGATATTTAAGGAAGAGCAGAGGAAAACATGAGTTTTTACTGAAGAAGATAAGATTGAAGACTCATAATTTTTTCTTTTTCTCTTTAAACTGTGTTTCCACTTTGTAGTCCTGGTGTTATTATTAGAAGACATGTTGTTGTTGTCATTACCCAGGGTGGTCTTTCATAGCTGATAATAACAAAGGAAACAGTAATTATACTTACTGCTAGATATATGAACTCTGCCAGATTATAGTACTTAGGTTATACCTTGATTCCTGGATGACTTCTACCAGTTCTACTAAATAATTTCTAGAATCCCAGTATTAGTGCTTACATTCTTCCCTTTAATTCTCATATTATGCTTACTGGTTCTTTTCCTGAAACAATTAAACCATCCTGTGTTTGGTCTGAAAACTTTTGGTAGACAATGAACTTATTCTTGAATACTTGAAAGAGCAACAGTGCCTTTGCAGAAATCAGATGTCAATAGATTTGTTAAATCTGATCATGTTATCAAGGAGCCCTAGTGGTACAATGGTTAAGTGCTTGGCTGCTAACTAACAGGTTAGTACTTTGAGTTTCAAACCAAACTCATTGCTATCGAGTCAATTGGACTCATAGCGACCCTTCCTTGGGTTTCCAAGGCAGCATCTCTATGGAAATAGATTGCCCAACCTTTCTTCCGAGGAGTGGCTGGTGGGTTTGAACTGCCACCCTTCTGGTTAGCAGTCATAAGCCTTAGACATTACGCCACCAGAGCGCCTTGGAAATCCTAGGGGTTAGTTCTCCTCTGTACTATAGGTTCACTATGAGTCGGAATCAACTCAGTGGCACTAGATTTGTTTTTTTTCAGTTTGGATTATGTTTTGCCACTTCACCAAATAGCTTTATACATTTTCTTATTAATGATTAAATTGACACTCCAGTTTATTCAGCTCTTTTGCTCACATTTTTTTCAGTTCTAGTCATTAGGTTCATTAAATCACTGTGGTTGTTAATTAGAAAAAGTCATAAAAGTAGAATTTCAAAATAAATTTGGAATCATCTGTGTTGTGACTGGAACGCCATTCATCCTTTATAAGCTCTGCAAGATCTTTCCCTCAAATGTTCCTGGTAATAATTTTCTTAAAGCAAATTAAGCAGTTTTGTTTGTTTGTTTTTTTAATACAGGTCTTCTTGGTGCTTTTAATAAGCTAATGAACATTGTACATCTACCAGCGAGGGTTACAGTACATGTATTTGTGGTGGTTATGTTTGTATGTCAGCTTGGCTGGGCCTGGTTAAGTGGCTGGACAGCTGAATGTAGTATTCCCCATGATGAGTTCCCCAACCTTATTTGACCATTGAACTCTTTATTTGCACAATACCTATTAACATTTCTTGAGACACAGAGTTTGGGAAACACTATTCTTGATACTCTATATTTCATATCTGGCCCTTAATTTTAAAAGGAAGAATGAGGTATATGTTTAATTATGGTCATTTTAACATAATTTTTCTTCTATGCTTTAGTAAACTCAGCTTGAGAAAGAGAAATGTGAAAGAGATTTGTGGAGACACTATGTAGACTATGTGATATATAAACCGTCTTCATATCCTGAGTTGTATGTTTTAACTTGCTATGGGGACTGCGGTGGTTAAGTTTATGTGTCAACTTGGCTGGGCCAGTTGAGTGGCTGGGCAGCAGGATGTAGTATTCTCCACGATGAGACTGGTAATCAACTCCATGGTGGTATCTACTGTCAGCAGCTGAGTAGCTGCCTTAGGGTTGTGGTCTGCTTCCTGTATATAAAGAGAAGCCTTGGGGAACAGTCTCTGGCTTATGACGTGCTTGAACCCTGCATATAGCCGTGTTGTTCAGCAGCCTGCCGTGCTCTGCCGACCTTGGGACTTTCAGTGAACTTGAATGAATGGCCTGCCATGTGGTTTGGTAACATCAGGACTATGACTTTTTACTTGTCAACCTTGGGCTTGTCAGCCTCAGCAGCCAGCAGCTGAGTGAAGAAAAACCTCCAGCTTCAGTGGGTGGGGAGTAGGAGGCAGAGCTGCAGGGGCTTTCACCCAGCCCCTAGAGGCTGGCACTTTGAATTAGGACTTAAAGCCTTCAGACTGTAAGAGAATAAACTCCTGTTTGTTCAAGCCATCCCATTGGTGGTATATTCCTGTCAGAGTGGCACTAGGTAACCAAAACAGGCACCCAATTTCATTTTTTGTTTTTTTGGAGTATGTAGGAAGTAGACGGGAGCTCTGGTAGCGTAGTGCCTAAGGCACTTGACTGCTAACCAGAAGGGTGGTGGTTCAAACCCACCAGCCACTCCTCGGAAGGAAGGTTGGGCAGTCTACTTCTGTAGTGATACTGCCTCGGAAACCCAAGGAGGGGTCGCTTTGAGTCAGGTCTGACTCAAGGGCACATAACAACAACAACAACAAAGGAAGTAGACAGCCAGCAGTAAAGAGGGAATGATCTGTTACTAAGATGTATTATCAGACATCCTTCAGGGTATTTACAATTTGCATAATTAATACAAAAGACTGGATGGTGCAGAAGTAATGCTCCTGGCTGCTAACCAAAAGGTTAGAGGTTCAAGTGCACCCAGAGGTGCCTTAAAAGAAAGGCCTGGCAATCTACTTCCAAAAAATCAGCCATCGGAAAACCTATGAAGTACAGTTCTACTCTAACACTCATGCAGTTGCCATGAGTTAGAGTTGAGTTAGAGTTAGTCCATGGCACCTGGTTTTGTTAATTTGTTTAGGATTCATAGCTGAGCCAACTATAAACGTGTAATTGAGATGACATTGTTAGTGTGCATTAGACAATTAGAATTTTTGCATCTGTGGCTCATTTTATTATCTTTGAAGACTTAAGTTGTATGTAACTTTTCCTTAATAAAGTATATATTATTATGTCTTAGGGTCATTTTAGAAATAACCCCCAGGTTTATATCACTTTTAAAGAATGATGAAAGCAATTCATATGTGTTAATTATGTTTGTTAGATCTTTAATAAAAACAGTATATATTAATCACTTACCTTATGGCAACCACTGTTGCTTTATATGTATTATTTTGTTAAGCCTCAAACCCCCCCTACAAAGCAAGTATATCATGTCTCTTTTGTATACGAGGAAGCAAAACTTTAGAGAAGTAACATCACCAGTGTCACATTATCTAATAAATGGCAGAATTGAAATTTGATCTCGGAGATCTGCAGAGTTAGATTTCACACTGGAGTTATATCTAAAGGCAGAAATTATGTATCATCAGAATTACCCTTGAAAGCCTTCAAATCTTCCAAATAATATAATATGCTTATCAAAAAGTTTAACACAGACAATTATTTCTGATCTCTCAAACAGATCATTCTTTCTTTCATTGAGTATTATGTTATTAAAAAATGTACTAGTGAGATGTTGTTGGTTCAGTGGTAGAACTCACTTTACAAGTGGTAGATAGACCGAGCTTCAGTTCCCAGCTAATACACCTCATGTGCAGCTACCACTCTTCTGTTATTGGAGGTTTGAGGTTGCTATGATGCTGAATAGGTTTTAGGGGAACTAAATGGACTAGGGAAAGTCCTGGTGATCTATTTCCAAAAATTAGCCATTGAAGGCCCTGTAAATCTCAACTGTTTGATATGCAGGGGTTCATGAGGATGGTGTAGTAACAGTACATGAGTTGGTTCTGCTTTGTCACGTGGGGTCACTATGAGTTGAAATCAACTTGACAGCACTTAACAACAACAATATTTTTCATAGTATGTGTTTGAATACTTCATACCACAATTAATAAAACTTTCATTAGAATCTATTGACAAAACTTCCATGCTTGATTCCTATATGGTAAATAATTTTAAAACTCAAATAGTAAAACAAAGAGTGTTTTTAAAAATGAAATAATATTTTGGTACATGAGTTGGTGGCCCACTCTAAGGCAGATAACAACAGTAAAAAGTTACATCGTCATCACCCTTTAGCACATTGAAACACATACGTGCGCAAGAGAGATGTACAAAGCTTGAGTCCAGCTGAACAAAGAGTATATGTACCTGTCTGTCTCAGGGCTAGAGAAGCAATAATTAAAATAATTTACTTTTCTGAAATAAAAATATGGTAGAGCTTTATTTTCAAGGAGCCCTGGTGGCATAACAGTTCAGCTAACCAAAAAGTTGGCAGTTCAAACCCAGCCAGCTACTTCATGGGAGAACGGCCTGGGGATCTGCTTCTGTAAGAATTATGGCCAAGAAAACCTGCAGGGTAGTTCTGCTTTGTCACATGGGGTCACTGTGAGTTGGAATCAACTTAACAGCATCTAACAACACCAAGAACTTATTTTCGTAGTATGTGTTTGAATACTTCATACCACAGTTAATAAAACTTTCATTAGAATCTGTTGACAAAACTTTCATGTTTGATTCCTATATGGCAACAAATAATTTTAAAACTCAAATAGTAAAACGAGGAGAGTTTTTAAACTGAAATAATATTTTGGTATTATTTATGACGAGAAAGGGCAAAATACTAGTTTTTCTAACTAGGTGTCTTTCAGATTAAGTCAGAGCAGTTTCAAGACACAGAATTTGTGATTATAGAAAGTATTTTCCCCACTTTTTATTTTGTTTTATGAACAGAAGAAAGGAATTCATCGTTGCACAAAATGTAGGCTGCAGTTTTTGACGTGCAAGGAGAAAATGGATCACAAGACTCTGCATCACCGAACGTTTATGAAACCTAAACAACTAGAGGGATTGCCTCCTGGAACAAAGGTGAGTTTTAAATACGTTGTATTTTAACTTTTTGGATGATAATACAAATTAAATCTTGCCTCATTTTCTGTTGAATGTAATATTTTAAAATTTGACTTCTGGTTTTTATTGTAGCTTTAATTTTAGGTTTTATCATTCTTAAGCTTAAAAAGGAAAAACTTCTAACCATTGTTTTGAGTTCAGTGGTGTGTTCTATGTTGAAGTGGTGGTATTCCTTGGTAAAAAGTGCATCTAGATTAGTTGTTGCCTGGGTCAATGGGTTACATAGGCTAGTTTTGAGCTATTCCATTTGACAGTGTATATGTGTGTTCTAGCTACTAGGCTGTAAGGGGTTTAAGATTAGGAATTATGTTTTATTTATCTTTGTGTCCCCATTACTGGTATGCCATAGGTATGCCTTGAATGCCATAGGTTCTTGGTTATTTGTTGAAGTTGGTATTACTGAGTCTGCTCTCAGAGAAGAAAGTTCTGCTGCTGGATAGCATTGTGTTTTAAGTGAGCAAACACATGTCTGACTGCATACTGATGATTGTAATTTTCTTTTCCCTGTTTGCCTCATATACATCTGTTTTCTCTGACTTCTTTATATACAGTCAGCTCTTGAATATTTGCTCCAGTGGAGGGAAACAGAGGCATGGATAATCCAAAGTGAAATAATCCCCAAAACATTTATATTTGGCTTTGGGTACTTACCTTTGAATGTGGGTATATGTCTGTTATTTGAATTAACTAAAACAATATAAAGCCATCCTCTGAAGACCTAGAGTGAGAGAAGCTATCCAGTATACTTCCCTGCAGTCCATTCATTCCATGCTGGGACTAGACATGCAGAACACTAATGTAAGCAGTGCAGTCCTCTCTCATATTTTCCCTTATTAATAACAATAGTAATAATAATATTAATAATTATACTAAATGTTTTATATCTCTGTAGAATTAGGCTTTCAGTATGCTTTTTTCATAATTCTATTAGTTAATCCATACAGTACTCCAGTGAGGTAGACAAAACCTATATTGTATCCATATTATAACAAGGAGGCTTAGAGAGCATAAGTCATTTATTCAAAGGTGCTATGGCTGGGAAGAGGTAATAGGAGATTCAACCTCAGGTCTTTTAATTCCTAGTCCATTGCTTTTTTATGATACCAAAGCACATGTTATTCATTGGACTTCCTCATAGGCTGCTTCTCACATACTTTGGGGGAGTATAGTCAAATGATTATCAAGAATGTTGGTAGGCATTTGTGTTTTCCATTGTTAACCAGCAGATACAATAAAATATTTCTCTTTCTCAATACTAAATAACAAATTTTACATTATTTCCCTTTAAGGATATTCTGAGTATTATTAAACTCTCCATGCTATATGAGGAATTGATAGAACCTCTTCCGTAACCTTTGTAAGCATAAATCAGGCCCAGTGAGCCATGGGAAAAGATCACATTTACTATAGATCTGTTTGTTTTATAGTTATTAAAGGGTAGTATAGGCATTTCTAGAGTTATTTTTTCAGATTTTGATATTTAAATTGTAACCTGTATATTTGTGAAATTCTTTTATCTATATCAGAGCATAAAATAGCTGTGGAATACATTCTTTTGATATTCATATAATTTGTGTTAACTCCTAATTGCCCATTAATTTCTTATGTTAACATACAAATGATAATCAGTATAAAACTATACAGTATTATAATAAATACATATCAAGTTTAATTTCATTTAATTGGTACTAAGTTTTGAATAAATGGAAGACTTACCCAATTTTAATTTGTACTTGCTGTTTTCAAAATACTTGATGTTTAACTCTTTGTATTACAGTGATATTTTTAATGCAAACAAACTGATTAATTTTCTAAAGCAAATATTATCTTCACTTTTGTAGGTTACTATTCGAGCTTCAGTTGGACCTCTTCAATCAGGATCTTCACCTACACCTTCCATTAGTGCAAGCACTTCCACCCTTCAGCTCTCACCTCCAAGGACTAAAAATATAACTACTAAAAATCCCACAAAATCTAATACAAATAAACTTAATGCAACTAAACCCAATGCAAATAAACCTAATGGAAGTAAATCTAAATGCAAATCAAAAATCTCTAGTATGCAAAAGAAACAAAACACGTTGGCTAGTAGCAATAAAAAAAGTAAAGTCAATACATCATTGAGGAACTTAAGGTAATAACTTTTGATACCAATATACAATACTAATTTAATCTTATTTTTAAAAACTTTGTTTAGTATAAATTTACCCTATCACAGAACTCTCTTGTATATCTATACAAAGTCACTTATCTGGCACAAAGGCCAAGAAATAATAAAAAGGTATTTTTTACAGCTTCTGAGCAGCACTTGAATTACTGTGTTTATTCTGTAATTCTCATCTGTTAACACTGGTATATGTATTTTGTGCTTATATCTTGTGCTATTTAATTTGGTTACTTTGATCCCCGTTTTAACATTAACTGCTGATGTTAGATTTTTATACTTCCTTTTGCTTGCTGTTTCATAGCACATTTTCAAATTCTAAGTCTGTAAGGATGTGAGTTAAACTCCTTGACTTTAATTAATAGAACATTAAGAAGACTCTTTTCATTTTTGTTTTAAAATGTATTTTTTTTATCATTTTTTTATGTCTCCATAAGGTTTCGTCGGGGAGTTTACAAGTGCATTGAGTGTTGTTCCGAAATAAAAGATTTTGCAAACCACTTTCCTACATATGTCCACTGTAGTTTTTGCAGATACAACACTAGCTGTAGCAAAGCCTATGTAAATCATATGATGAGGTAAGATGAGTTCAATATATAAATTGCCAGTTAAAAATAATGGTTCAAGAGTTTGTTTTTTGAAAACAAAGTCATCCTATTAGAATTCAATTTTTCTCTTGAGGGAACTAAAAGGGGCTAACAGTAGGGAACTTTGAGGATATTTCCTGGTACTATTTTCCAGCATAGTAAGTCAGGAGATTATTGGAAGTCATACTGTAAGAACAGACTAATAAAATTAAGATAGGTTTGTTAGGGAAACAGTTTTTCCACAGGCTTTTTTTTCCCCTATTGGTCTTTCAAAGTGATTATTTTCAAACATAAAATTTTAAATGTTTTAAATATATTCACCAAACAAATACATGTAATACCATGAATGTTATCCTTTTCAAAACAATCATTTTGAAAGAGTCCAGGATTTTCAGTGATGTTAAAAACTTTATTGTGCCCATTTCTCTTTCTAGTTCATCTGTCTCTGTCCATCTGTCCATCCATCCATCCATTTGTCCAATCATCTTTCCTTGTATTCACTCAGTAAGATGAGAAACTTTTCTAGTTATGATGCCACTGTGGAAATTCCTTTTCATTCAATTCATTGACCTTATATTAATTGAATATTTAACATTTATTCTGTGTTTGGATAACCTTCAGAGCCCACATTGCTTTCACTTGGATCTTATTAGTAGGGGCAAACTATTCCCTTTAGGATAGACTTCTATTTAAAAAATAAAAATAGCCAAAAGTTGTTCAGATAAAACTGACAAGTTGATTGTTCAAAGTGATGTTCCTTTTAAAAAACAATTAGAATTAAGATAGAACTAATAAAAGTGATTTTCTTGTAGCTTATAATATGATTCTGTGTTACCTTCTGGTCATAATTAGCTACCATTTTCAAGGATTCTTCAATATCTCTTGATGGTGTCTGCACCTGGCTCACAGTTTCATTTTGTTTTTTTGAAATATGGTACCTTGACTTATTTCATATCCACCTCTAAGTTACTGTATCCCCTGTCTTAACCACCAAACCAATAAAACCCGTTGTTGTTGGGTCAATTCCAACACATGGAGATCCATGAGGACAAAGTAAAACTGTTTCCATAGGCTTTCTAAAGCCGTAAATCTTAAGGAAGTAGATTGCTACGTAGTTCTTCCATGAGGCAGCTATTGGTTTTGAACTGCTGAACTTTGCGTTAACAGTCAAGCTCTTAACCACTGTGCCACCAAAGATCCTTTTTCTTACCACAGTCCCATTATAATTAAGTGTTTAATTGATTTTGAATTCCCGCAACCCCATGACTTTTAGGTCTTTGAGTCTATTTTCCAATTTACCAGCATCCATCTAACTTTATAGTTACCCTCACTCTCAGGGTCATATGTTTTGAATGCTACTTTATATTTGTCTGAGAATTCTTTACATCTTTAGTCATGCTCACCTGGCCTAAAGGCCAAAGTGGGACTTGATCCTCTTCCCCTTTATGAACTTTATGCTCAGAGACTTATCAAATTGTGCTTGATTTGTTATTCTAAAGATTTTATTCTAGTCTCTCAGTTGCTAACTTCATCTACTAACTTCTGATTTGAAAGTCATCCTTTATGTTTTCTCCACAATTAACTCTTTCTGCCTCAAATTATTTCCCTTTTACTTTCTTACAGACATGAATCTCAAAACAAATTTGTCCCACTTCTGCAAAGTTAACCCTAACTTTTATCTCCTTCACTTCTCTATGACCTTATTCAGTTAACTTACGTTACCATCATCATTTCAAATGATACCATCATCTTTATCAAATTAACCATCGAATTACTTCTGCTTACAAACATTTTTAGATATTTTTATAGAATGAGGGATATTTTCCCTACTGCCTACTTTCCTTATTTCTCATCTTCATTTTACCATCAACATTTATAATAAGTATTTGTTAATCGTTTGTCATTCATTTATTTACACTTTGAGTATCACCCCCACCTGTCACCTAAAACTGCCCCTTTAAAGATTATTAGTCATGTGCTAATTACTAAGTGTACTTTTTTAATCCTTATTTTTGTATAACTTCTTTATAATATTTGAAATTTCTGGTGACTCAGTTTTGAAACTCTTCTTGGCTTCAGTTAAACTGTTACCTCTTTTATGTCTTGGGCTACCCCTCTTTCTCATTGCTTTTATTCAGCTTTTCTTGCCTCTTTGTGTTCCCTTCCTTGGTAACTCAGCTATTCTCACTTTTACCTTTTAGCTTTAAATATTCTAGTTTCCTTAGTTTTCCTGAGATCTGACTGTATTTTTAGCTGTTTTGTAATTTTGATTCATTGTTATCTGACTAGAACAAAAGTAAGCAAAACATCATCTGTTCAAGATCATCTCTTTACCTAAGTACTACCCCAGTAGTACCCTTTAAGCTCCATCCCTTTCAGGGTATCATTTGTGAGAATATGGAGCACCAGCTGCATATAATTTACCATCACAGGTTTCTGAAGCTCATGAAAATTCTCTGGTCTTATATGTGCCCTAATCCATTCTATAAAGACTCCTATCCCATAAATTAAACTTCCCCAAAGAACAGTTCCTTCCATACTCGTTATCTATAGTGGTATTTTCTTATTCTTAATCCTTAGAATACCCTTGTACTTCCTTCTTGGTTTATTGTCTTAGGTGAAGCGGCTGATCACCAAAACCACTCAGGGTTCGTTCCTTTTTTAAGTTGTGTTCCTCTCAACTATTCTGCCTTACCATTTCTTTGTCTCTGTATTATCTCCTTGTGAAGAAGTAGCTCTTTGTATTCACCCTATCATGTAGCACATTATGAGGTCATTATTTATTGTAATTATAAAAAAATCAGTTGCTGTTGAGTTCCACCTCATGGGAAGCATATGTGGGTCTGAGTAGAACTGTGCTCCAAGGGTTTTCAATGGCTGTATTTTCAGAAGTAAGATCATCAGGCCTTTCTTCTGAGATGCTCTGGGTAAACTTAAACCTCCAACCTTTGGGTTAGCAGGCAATCATGTTAACCGTTTGCATCACTCAAGGACTCCATTGTAGTTATGAAAGACTCCAAATATAATCTGCAAGAAGGATAATCAAAACCTTGAAGCAGTTGGAGCATTGTAAGACTTTTGAAGGAAAGCACATGATCGTATGTGATTTTTTAAAAACTAGTAGTTAGGTGAGATTAATTGTTTGTTTATAGCTTTTAGCAATATAGATCAGCTTAAAAAATGCAGAATTATATACTATTCCTCAAATGTGTTAAAGAAGGCTTTTTTTCTCTGCATATAAGATAATAAAATAAACTGACATGGCTATTTAATATTTCTTGTTCTAGGTGAATTTATTTTAGCCATGTTCAGTTCAACAAATATTTATCACTGTGGTGGACAAATAAGTATTTAAGTCCAAGCTTCATCATTACTTTAGTTGTGCCACTTTGGGCAAGTTACTCCCAGTTTCTTTTCTTGAAAAGAGGGTTATGATTATTAGAGAAAATGTACTTAAACTGCTTAATGAAATGTTTTTGCTCTTAGGAGATATTCAAGTAATTATAGTTATTATTGTTTCTAAGCTGCCATTATTAGTTTGGGGATAAAGTCCTTGCCTTTAATTTTCAAAATCTAGTAGGGAAGATATATATTTATCTAGCCTAATATAATAAACAAATGAGTATGGATGCACAGAGGAGGTAAGGATGAATTTTTTAAACAACAATAAAGGAAGACTTTCTATAAATGATATTTTACTTAGGTTTTGAAGGAGATTTCATTTTTTTTCCCAGGAAAAATAAAGCTGGTATAAATATTTGTTCCTATACACTGGATAAGACAGAGTACTGAATTTATTTTTTTATAACATCTGCTTGAATTCCTTATATATTTTATATAGATTTATTGGCACCAATTAGTGATCATTAGAACAGTAAGATATTGTTGTATCATTATAACTAGTGTTCTTGTCTATGATTTTACCCCTTTTTTTCCTTTCCCTTTGCTGCTAGATTAGGCATATCTAGTCAGATCATTTTTGGTTTGAAATCCTTTTACTTTCTAACATTGGTAGGATGTTTAAATTTTCTGAAGAATATAAGACCTTTTCAGTATCTAATTCCTAACTGTTTTTCAGCTTGTTCAGTTCCTTTTGCTCTCTTGAAAATTTCTGTATGTCTTTGCACTTGCTCTTTGCTCTGCTGGATCAAGGCAGTGTGGACCTTAACTGAAACAAACTCCTAGTTGTTGGTTGGCTTCTTACTCCAATACCCTGCAGCTTTCTTACATATGACCATAAAATTTTGTATATATCATTGTTGATGCTTATTTTAGGGTAATTATTTCTGAATAGGAATTGAGCATTTATTCTGTACCAGCTGCTGTGTACCTTCCCCCAAGACCATGAACTCTAGAGCAGGCAGCTCGCCATTTCAGTGCGCCATCAACCTCTGGTCTAGTGTTGTAAATTGTAGTCAGACCATCAATATTGCTGAATGTTAAAGAAATGATTCCTCTTGTATGTTTGAGAAAACAAAAGTTGTTACAATTACTGAGTCACGATAATTTAAAAAGTGTGGTTGACAGGTTTTTCCTCCAGCTTTTTTAAGGTACAGTTTATGCATAGTAAATTTCATTTTTAGAGAATATCTTGACAAGTTCTCATAATTGTATATACCGATGTAACCAGGAGGTAGACTTATTAACCCTCGATACTAACATTCTAATTTTATTATATTGTAATAAAAATCTTAACCTTTTTTCTCTTGAACTTAGTTTTATTTCTGTATGCTATTAACTTTATGCAGATCTAATAGGAGGTAGAAGGGTCCCCCCCTTTTTTTGTGTGAGTTTCAGATCTACTTTTCCATTCCTGTAATATACAAAACTACAGATATGAAATTCAGTTTGACTTATAGTGACCTTTCCTTGGGTTTCTGAGGCACTACCTCTACGGAACTAGATTTGCCCAATTTCCCTTCCAAGGAGACGCTGATGGGTTTGAGGGTTTGAACCACCAGCCTTCTGGTTAGCAGTCAGATGCATCAGGCACTATGCTACTAGAGCTCCCAAATATAGAGAAATCAAAAAGTCTTTTTTTCTTTTTTAATAGATAGGGAACTCAAAACTAAAACTGTATTTAGGCAATTAAAATTTTTAAATTACCAACATTTCAATAAGACAGAAATTGCAGACAGGAGAAGTTGAAGCCATTAAAAGAAAGAAAAAACTAACATGTAATATTTCTTTTTCTCCTTACCAAATAGATAATAAGCAAAAAACAGTCTACTTGTTTCAAGAAAAAGAAGAAAACACCTTGAAAAGATACTTTTAAATCTCAAAAAAAGTAAAAATAAAAATAAATTTGGTTCGGGTTCTTTGGGAATTCATAAAAAGTCTTGAACTCATTCTTCTGGGGAGACACAGATATATATACAAAACTTTATATAAAATTCCAAGGCTTTCAATCCCCTGACTTTCTCTTCTAAAAAACATTTACTTCTTTTTGGGATAATGTCTTAAATTAATAAATTCTGTAATAGTAGTTACCCCTAGATAGAGAAATGATGATTTTCTGAGCCTTCTTGCTAGCTAGAGTATTTCTTTTCCCATTTGTACATACTGTGTTTTGGTGGTCATTACCTTGTATTTGAGAGTAATCATTGATGTGGTGTGTTGGCTTCTTTGGGTCTATGAACACAAGCTACTACTTTTCAAAGAAGCTTGCATAAGAATCACCGAGAAAATGTTGTAAAACAGATTCCTGCGCCCCACTGACAGATTGATTCAGTAGGTTTGTGGTGGGGCCTAAGACTGTATTTCTAAATAAAAGCTCCCAGTGATATTGATGGTGTTAGTCTCTGACCACACTTATAGCCACACTATGCTAGGCTAATCCTGGCTTACCTTGGCTTTCTAGTACAGGAAAGCTTTCCTTACCAATTTTGAAAAGGTGTATAAAGTTATTAGATTTCTGGTTGGTACAGACTGTTTACACTGGACTACTTACCTAAAGCTTAGGAATTCAAACCCACCTAGCAGTGCTGTGGAAGAAAGGACTGACAATCTGGTAAAGAGTACAGCCAAGAAAAACATGGATCAGTTCTACTCTTAACATAAGAGTTGCCAAGAATAGGAATTAACTTGACAACAACAAGCTTAGCTATAACCTATTATCTTTGGCTATAACGGTTGGTTAGTTTTCTGTTTTGTGCTTGGGTGAAGCATTGTTTAACTTACAAGTTCTGCTTTAATTTGCTTTTTAAAATCTTCTAGTAATTGCAAAGATCTAAATATATGATTTTACTGATGGTAAACAACTCAGGTAGTGTTCACTTCCAAGATTACTTAGATTCTGTCCTTTTCCCATTACACAAGCATATTAAGACTGGAAAATGATAAATAATAGTAATTATTCTTGATAACCATATTATATCAAAAAATAAGTAAAAAATTAAAATTATTTTAAGTTCTTAATACTTGAAAAAACATAATTTGAGTCTCCTTATATTTTTAACTCAGTTTTTTTTTTTTTTAATTTATAATATGGTAAGATATTTATCATCTGGAATATGCTTAAGGAAATGTATGTCAGTAGAAAAGAAACAGGTAAAATTGAATGTACGATAAAATCTTGAATTTTATAGGATAACATTATTTTATTACTTGGAGTATGAGCTTTTATTCAAAACTAAGAAACCTATACCTCAACTTGAAATATATTCATAAAATTAACATGACTGAATGTACAATAAAATTAATAAAATCAATTTTGTCTCTCCAGCTTTCATAGTAACCGTCCAAGTAAAAGGTTTTGTATTTTTAAGAAGCATTCAGAAGATCTCAGGTAACTAATTTATCTTCTTTCACTCTTTCTACTGAGAAATTGTTACAACTTAAAAAAAAAAATTACGTGATATCTTCTTAGGACATAATTTACATACAGTTACCCATTTGAAGTGTATAATTCAGTAGCTTTTACTATATGTACAGAGTTGTTCAGCTAGCATTACAACCAATTTCAGAACATTTTCATTACTCCAGAAAGAAACCCAGTACCCGTCAGCAGTTACTCACCATTTTGTTTCCAAGCTCCCATCTCTAAGCAGCTTATCTGCTTTCTGTCTTTATAGATTTGTCTATTCTGGACATTTTATACAATTGGAATCATGCGATAATGTGGTCTTTTATGACTGCTTCTTTCACTTAGCATAATGCTTTCAAGATTCATCCATTAGTAGCATGTATCAGTACTTCATTTTTTATTGCTCAAATATATTCTGTTATATGAATATATTTTCTTTATCCATTCATCAGTTGATGAACATCTAGGGTGTTTTCACTCTGAGCATTATGAATAATGCTGCTATGGACATTGTGTACAAGTTTTTGTATGGATATGTGTTTTCATTTTCTTAACTCCCAAGGATTGCAGTTGTGGAGTTTGTTACAGGTTTTCACTTATAATACTTAGATAAGCATCCTCGTCATAAGCATCTGTTTAGATAAAACTTTATAGTCATTATTTCTTCAGGATAAATTCCTGAAAGTAAAATTGTCTTCTGGGTCAAAAGTATGAGCATTTTTAACATGAACAAAAGGTATAACAAGAGCTCTGGTGGCATAGTGCCTAAGGCACTTGACTGCTAACCACAAGGTTGGTAGTTCAAACCTACCAGGCACTCCTTGGAAGGAAGGTTGGGCAATCTGCTTCCATAGTGATACCACCTTGGAAACCCAAGGAGGGGTCACTGTGAGTCAGAGGTGACTGGACGGCATGTAACAACAGCAATGTAACTCTGTGCTTAAACATTTTGAGAAAACTGCCAGCCTGTTTCTAAAGTAGCTGCAATATTTTAAATTCTTACCAGAGGTGTATGAGGGTTCTAATTTCTGTACATCTTTGCTAGCTCTTGTTACTGTCCCTTTCTTATTATAGGCATTTTAGTGGATATAATGTGATACCTTATTATGGTTTGTTACAACTTTTTCAGGAGCTCTGGTAGCATAGTGCCTAAGGCACTTGACTGCTAACCAGAAGGCTGGCGGTTCAAACCCGCCAGCCACTCCTTGGAAGGAAGGTTGGGCAATCCTACTTCCATAGTGATACTGCCTCGGAAACCCAAGGAGGGGTCGCTATGAGTCGGGGCCGACTCGACGGCATATAACAACAACAACAACAACAACAACAACTTTTTCTTAACTTGATGCTGGATTCCCTAATTTGGAAATTTAAATGATTGCTGTTGGACAAAACAGAGTTATTTTCCTTATGTTCTTAGAACAAAGACGTCTTATCTTGTATTGTTAAACGTTGTTTCTGTGGTCCTAGCCACCAAGATGAAACTTTAATGTATTTGCATTATAAAATGAGAACCAAAAAAAGACTCCCTATAAATATTTGAATATTAAAAAGATATTTAAGATATCTAGTAAAATGAGTAACACTTTCTCAGTTTAAAGAAGTTTCTTAAAGTACTGGAATTCTTAATATTAGCCTTCATAATTCTTAAGGTTCAGAACTTGTTTACTGTAGAGAAAGAACTACTGATGAATATTTCTAAAGGCATTAGTAGTTAACTGTGATTATGCCACACATTTAACTCAGACTCCATTGAATACCATTTTTCATATTCTTCTGATTTCTTGTGTGTCCAGTATTTTTCGGTTGTTGTTCATCTTGCTACTTAAAATATCAATGTTTTTGCCACACTAAACTAAGATATACAGATAAGTGTAGCATATACTTGGTTTGATGCTTTGGATTAGGGGAAAAAGTAGAAGCAGGACTAGTTATGTCTGAGAACCTTTTTGTTTGTTATTCCCACTGCCACGTTTCCTCTCTCCAGTTATCTAATGGTTAGCTCCCTCAACATGTCTCTACTCTGATGACTGAGACTTTCCTTGACCACCCAACTTAAAATTATATCTTCTTTCTGATGCTTCAGCCCTAGAACTCCTTATCTTCCTTTTTGGCTTTTGCTCAAAATATTTATAACAATGAAAAGCATTTTATCACATTTTAAAGATGAGATTTTGATTTTTGCTTCACTGTGGTCATGCTCAGCTATAAGTTTGGTTCTTAAATTAACTGTATTTTGTATATATGAATACTTTTCCCTCTGTCAAGTAAGTCTCAAATTTTAATAGAAAATTGATCAATTTCTATTTAGGAATTCAGGATATTTATAATTCTATACAACAATAAAATTCATAATAACAATTTTGGGGTAGATATTCTTTATTCATTATACATCAGTTACGTATAGCACAATGTAGCAGGTCCTATAAAAAATGACAATAATGAAGAAGTCATCTTGGACCAACGAAAAAACAGCAGAGGAATGGCTAATAGTAAATTTTGGGTGGAGCAAGAAATTTATATTACTTAGAAATAAGATTGAAATCTGGGGGAATTGTTTTAAGCTGTGAGTCAAATTGTCAAAACTTTGAGGTTAAGGAGTTTATACATCATTTGGAGGGAGGGCATGGGAGAACCATTGATGTTTTGTGTAGAGTGAAATGATACTGAACGAAGGTAGTTTTGAAGGGTGTGCACAGTGAATGAGATATGCATGAATCACATAAAATACTTAAAACTAGTGTGGTAATTATGAATGATATAAAGGACCTGAGTTAAAATGGTGTCATTAGGCACAGTTGGGTCAGTTCTGACGCATAACAATCCTGTATACAACATGATGGAACACTGCCTGGTCCTGCACCATCCTCACAATCGTTGCTGTCTTTGAGCAGTGTGTCTTAAGAACATGGACTCTGGAAACAAAGTGTTAAATTTCAAACCTAGTCCTTACCCTCACCAACTCTATGCCCTTGGTAGATTACTAAACTAACTCTGTCCTCTATAAAAATGTGATCATTACAGCACCCATCTCCTTGGGTTGTTTTAAGATTTAGATGATTTGTCTAAACTTTTAGTCTGGCACAGTTAAGTACTCAATTTGTTAATATTACAAAATACTTGATATATTGGATTTTTTAAGTAAGAGGGACTCAGGGTTAACTATAGTTTGACCTTTAATGTCAAGGAAATGGCATAATAAGAAAGGTCAGTCAGGAGGAGTTGCTTTGGGGAGGAAAAAGCACGTGATTTTAGATTTAGGAAAGTTAGTTTTGATGAGCCATTGCTGCATCTAAATGTAAATACACAATAGGTTGTTAGACTAGAGCTTCAGGGGAGAAGTCAGTGTGAGGCGTGTTGTTTGTATTCCTGTACATGTGAAATAGTAAAGTTTATGATGAAAAGTATATTTTTATGTTGTTAATAAACTGACAGTCACACTAATCACATTATATGATCTATTTCACTCATATTTGTCTTCTAATTTTATCCCTCTCAAAAAATGACACTGGATTATAAACACCATCAGAACACAGACTATCTTTTTTTTGTTCACCATTCTCTCAGCAATACCCAGTACACTAATACGTATAAAAATGACTTGAGTAAATATATTTTGAATGAGTAAATGTATGTTATATCCTTAGTTTGCAGAGGGCAAAGGCACAGATAGATTGTGACTTGCTCTAGTTACACAAGTTTTTAGTGGAGCCAAGATTATGCTATAGATCTCTTGACTTTTAGCAAGCATTGTGAGAGGTAAGTTCATAAAGCACAAATACTTCTTGGAAGTAAATAGTTACATAAATTGGAAATGACTATGCTATTTTCTAAAGATTTCTTTCAGTTGTATCAGTTCTAACAAAAATGGAAAGTGATAGTTATGACACAAAAGGCAGATCGAGTTGTTACTTAGACAGATAGTCTTTGAACTTGTGTATGGATTATCCTAAAAAATAAAAACCGTTTCTTTTATACTGTTTCCTTTTTTCCATAGGGGCATTACTATAGTGTGCCTTAATTGTGATTTCCTAACTGATGTTTCTGGCATAGATAATATGGCTACACATTTAAGTCAACGTGAAACTCATACTTGCCAAGTTGTCATGGAGAATGGTATGTATCTGTAACTGTGTTACTTTGGATTTTCAGTATTCCAGTATTTTTGATCAGCCATAATATGGGCTCTTTACTAAATCATTATTCTCACTTATCATATTTCACATGCTGTTTTAAATGTAAAATTTTTCTTCTAATTTCAGTTTCTGTTTGTATCCCAACTTCTGAACATCTTTCTGAGTAAGTTTAATATTTCTTCAGTGCATTTTACTTTGATGGATTTTAGCACTGTTGCATTTTTCAATGTATCATTAGTACAAATGAAAAATATTAAAGTTTTTTTTTTTTTTTTAAAGCTGCTTGTTGAAATAGGTTTCTGCTCTATGGAGCTCGTGACCTGGTGCAAGACAAGTTGGAATTTCCTAAGTTCAAAGTTCTGAGATGTTTTCTTACACAGAGGCAGTTAAGCAGCCAAGTTCATGACACTAGATCTCATTATTCAGCTCTTTTCAGCTTTCAAATGGGACTAGATTCTTATTCCACCTTATCTTTGTGTCAGGTTGACATATCTTAACACGTTTTTTTCTCCAGTTGGCTCTCTCCAAAAATAACTGATGCTGTAGTCTTTTCTTATTTTGCTTAAAATAATTTGCATTTTCCTCTGCTTTACTACCTTCAAAATTATACATTCCAAGTGAGATGGTTGTTTGTCTTTTTGTCTGTTTTGTCTGCTTTCTTAATTTCTTATACGTCTTAAGTTTTTAGGTCAGATGATTGTCTTTTTCCTCATTTGTTGTCTGTCATTGTGCTATTTTTCTTATTTTTCAGATGCAGAAGCAGCCCAGAGATTTCAAAAAATGTCCAGGGTACACTAGGACAGTGTCCCCCTTCGATGAACACAATTGATGCCTGTTCTGTCTTTCCAAAGAATGTGAATAATTTGACTGTGAGACCTGTTCTAGGTTGTGGCCTCAAGAAATCAGATCTTGGGGAGACTCCCTTCCTACATGGCTGGCCTCCCATGAGGCTGATGCTGATTTGGCCAGAGATAGGCTCAAGGCCTACTAAATTGAACACAACTTTTCACTAGGGACTTTGGCTCTTCTTCTTAAGCTTATGGGTCCATTCTGGTCAAGAGTAGGCCATCAAATCACTGATTTAATGTCCAAGTTGAATTATGGCTACTGCCCTTTAATATTTTTCTAGTGTGAATGTAGTCCAAGTAATAAAAAAAGCTCTCATTGTTGGGAAACCATGGTTACTTTCATATCCTTGGAACAACAGGTCTCTAAAATTATCTTCCAAAATTAACACTTTTATTTACTGTCACTTAAAATATATTATCTAGTGTTAACTCTATACTGTTTTCAACAATACTAATTTTCAAACTTTTTATTTTAAAAAAAAATTAATTTAATTTTAGTGGCTAGCTCGATTTTATGTTGTCCAGATTTATTGATGTCTATTTTGTTACGTCTGTTTTTACACTCTATTTAAAAAATATTATTTAGTGTTTGCTTTGTTAAGAACTCTTAAGAGATTCCTTAGAATTCTCTACATATTTCATATAGCAGCCTATTTGTAGCTTAGGTTGACATTTGTTCAGACCATTATTCATTATTATATGCTCTGTCTACTCTTGAGACTGTCAATATTGTCTTAATGATTATGAGTTCTAAGGCATAAATAATTGGTAAAACTTCTTCTGAAGATCTTAAACAAATTTTAGTCTTACATATGTATTTGTTCACATAGTATATAGCAACATAGCCATTAAATGCAGTTCTTTTGAGTAAAGGTAACATTAAAAAAATACACACATGTATATATAATGCATACTTTTGTAATTTGGTGTTTATTGTTTATTTTGGTTGCATTGAATATAAATCAACTAAACTGTTTTGGTGCTATTTGTTTGATGCTATTATTTTCTTTCAATAAATTGTTTAAATGCCTTGAGAATTATTTGCTAATGAATAGCTTTATGTAAAAGCTATAGATTTTATCATATAAATAGGAGCAGTGTTTTGTTATGTGGAAGCTTGATTACTTGTCCTGGACACTGAGAGCTATGTCTGCCTAGTACATCTTAAATTTGTTCCTCCAGAACAATTAAAATTTCACTGTTTATACAAAGAAGGAGCCCTGGTGGTGCAGTGGCTAAGTGCTTACCTGCTAACCAAAAGGTCAATTATTTGAACCTCCCAGCTGCTCCACTGGAGAAAGATGGAGGCAGTCTGCTTGCATAAAGATTACAGTCTTGGAAACCCTGTGGAGCAATTCTACTCTGTCCTATAAGGGTCATTATGAGTAAGAATTGACTCGATGATAGTGGGTTTGGGTTTTTTGTTTGTTTATTTTTATTTATACTATACTATGTTCTTGAATTTTAAAGACTAGCAAAATTCCCTTTGTGACCTTAATATCCACAAAGGTAGGCAGGCGCAATCTGAAGTTAAGACTCATCATTAGTGTTCTATAATCAGAACTTCTTCAGTTATACTTGAACAGAATGAAAGCTGCTTTAGATTACCACTAATTATGTAATGTGCTCCTTGGAATTAGTAAAAGTTAAATCCATTAGTTTTAAATCTCCAGACAAATTTCTACTGTAAATGAATGGATTTCCAAAATATCCGAAAATGACTATTTCTTAGTCAGCACTATAACCAAGTGCTGACTTGGTTATATCCACCCTCTAACCCAATTTCTTTTTCTTTTAATTTAAAACATTTTGCCCAGAAACAACTTTCCATCTTTAATGTAAATTCTCTTTTCATTTATAGATATTTACTCTGCGTTGGTCTTAGTTCAAAAATAAAATAAACCACATTGTTCTTTGTAGGAGTCTATTTTTATAGTATGCATCAAGTTCATTTTGTTAAAGTATAAACTCTCAAATTTCTGTGATCTGTAACTTTATTTTTTAAACAGGTTTTAATAAAACACTTAAGGTAGTTAATACTAAACGTATAGGCAGTTCATTGAATTTTAATTTGGTGCTAATGAGTTTCAGCTGGAGTCTGATCCCTACTTACTATCAAGTTATTCTAAGTAGTATATTCACCTGATTCCGAAATAAAGTAGAGATGGGAGTTAGGGAGTATGAGGTGTGCGTTGGAAGGTTGCCATTTTAAATTTGGTGGCTTGGGAAAGCCTGATGCAAAGATGACATTTGAGTAAAGACCTGAAGGAGGTGAGGAAATGAGTTGCTTTGATATATATCAAAAGAGTATTCAGGGAGAAGGAACAGCTAGTGCAAAAGCCCTGAGGTGGGATCATGTCTAATTTAAGAAACAGCAAGCAAAGAAACTGGTATGGCTGCAATGGAGAGAGCAACAGTGAAAATACTAAGACATGGGACCTGTGAGGTAATGTGGTATAGGGCCTTATAGCCTGTGTAAGGGATTGGAGTTTTACTCTAGGTAGCAAGAGATGGAAGATTTTGAATAGAGGAATGTTTCAAAATAAAATAGTAAAATTAAAATAAACAAAAATCTTAAGTTCAGAAGAGTGGCTTAGTAAGATCACTCTAGCTCATGTCTTGAGAATAAGTTGTAGAAGACCAAGGGTGGAATCAAGGAGATCAGTTAGCGGACTGTTGTAATAATCCAAGTAGGAGATGGTAGGAGTTTTGGCTCAGATGCTAGCAGTGTAGGTTTAATTTTGCATATATTTAAAATTTTTTGATGGTTTAAATTTGAAGTGTGAGAGAAAATGTTGATGATTTTATGGTTATTAGCGTGAGCAAATGGAAAGATGACATTAATATTAACTGAGTTACAGATGATAGGAACAGACTGAGGAAGGGAAAATAAGGACTTTGATTTGGGATGTGTTTTAGGTTTGGGGAATGTCATATTCATTCACATGTAAGAGTTTTGGGGAGAGTTCTAGGCTATAAATAACATTTAATTTTTATTTATTTTTATTTTTGGAAGTCATAAGAACTAATACAAGTAAAATTGGGGAAATCCGAAAAGATTGATACATTGTATCACTGTCCATATCCTGGTTGTGATATTGTATTAGTTTCTCAAGATGTTGTCACTGGGGAACATTGGGCAAAAGGTATAAGGGCTCATTCTCATTTTTTTTTTTTTTTTTTTAACAACTGCATGTGAATCTCCAATGATCTTAACATAAAAATTTCAATTACAAAACAGTTATGGGCTTATATGAAATCACCAAGGGATGCAGAAGAGATAGAAAAAGGGTAAGATCCACAGCCTGGGGCATTCTGACACAATACAGGGTTAGGGAGCTCAGAGGGAAACAGCAAAAGAGACTGAGAAGGAGTGGTCAGTAATATGAGAGGACAACCAGGAGAGTGGTGGTGTCCTTGGGTCCTCAGTTTCCCTGCATGCAAAGTGGGTGATAAACTTATTCTAGAGTTCTGAGATACTGTTACTTAATCTTGGTTATACCTAAACATAGTCATTTGCAAGATGTTGTTGTGCTGTCGAGTCGGACCCGACTCATAGTAACCTCTCCTTGGGTTTCCGAGGCAGTATCGCTACAGAAGTAGATTGCCCCATCTTCCTTCCAAGGAGTGAATTCAGAATGTCATATACCCCTATCTCCAGAAAGAGGTATCTCCAGAAATGGTCTCTTTTGACCTTGAGAAAATGAAATGTTCACACTACTCCTAGGCATGTTTAACACTGTAGTCTTGTAAAAGTAATCTGTGCATTTTTATTAAAGAGCACATCTGGGTCTGTGTTTCTTAAACTCTGTACTACATAAGTAATGTCTATAATTTGTAAATGGTCTGCAATGTGGTCAAAGAAATTTAGAAAATGCAAGTTAAAGTTAAATGGATTATTTAATAGGGGATTTTTTCATACTACATGTAGTCTGTGAATCTCTAAAGAGGATTTATTTGAACTTGAATTTTTTTTTCTTTCAATACTTAATAACTTCTTGACATTAATCTTCATAGAATAGTGTGGAGAATGCTGATCTTGATTAATCATTCTTCAGATTTCTTAAATTGGGAGATAAAAAGTAGTTGTATAGGGATGTTGACTAGATGGATGACTCCTACACATTTTATTCCTATTCAGGAGTCATTTGTAAGGTGGAGTTTATTACTGGATACTTGTAATACACATTTTTATATCTTTAGAGATTACATCAGGAAACAGTATGGAATTATGATGTTTGTAAAAATCTAGGCAATACGTTACAAGAGCAGACCACATACCAGTCTGCTTTGCCTATGATTGTAGCAGCAAGGG